TCGTCCCTGCGGACAGATCGCGGTGTCCGCCGGGACGAAGAGAAAGGATGATCGTTGGCATAATATGTGTCAACCGAAATCCTGAAGGGTGGCCACGTGTTCCTGATGGGTGTGCTTCTTCTTCTTCTCGGGTATACGATCCTCGAAGTATCTCGCTGATCGTCTCCCGATTGTCATCGTTATTATCAACGTCATTGTCGTCGTGAAAATTCATCAATCTCATCGTGGTTGTTGTCAACTCTTTTTTTATTTGCTGGATCTTGGCTCCGACGTGTTGTTGTTGTTCTATTGTCTATCTATTCCCTCACAGCCAGGTTGCCACGTGGCCATCCTGCCCCGAGTCGATGAAATTTTTTCTCTCGGAATCGTAGCGTGCCGAGGGGAAGTTTTTTGTTTTGGACCCTGCCCACAGAATTGATCGCGCAATCTCTCTCTCCCATTCACACCGATATACACTCTCACTCCGTCTCGTTCTCTCTCTCTCCCGCTCCCGTTCATACATTTTCTTCCTCTGACCGTACACACTTTGCTCACCCGCCTCGCTTTTCTTTTCCTTTTTTCTTCTTCTTCTCCTCTTCTATTCCGGGCCGAACAAACTACGCGCGCGCGCGCGTTTTCTTGTTCTCTCTCCTTCCTTGTCGCGTTCCTTTCCTATCCTGCTTTCTTTCTTTCTTTTTTTTTTTTGTTGCTTTTCTGTTTTGTTTTTTTTTTTTGCCTGTTTTTTACCATTGAAAATTGTTTTTCCCATTTTTTTATCCGGTGTCGATTCGTCGATGGTGGTGGGTGTCTTTCTCGAATTTGAAACGCAGTGGCGCCCCGACGAGAGTGGCGAGAGCCAGTGTGTTCTGTTTTTCTTTTTTCTGTAGCTTTTTTTGTTGTTGTTGTTGTTTAAATCGCTTCGCTTGGATGTTTGCTGCTCTTCGGCGCTACCGCTTCTCCTTCTTCATCTTCGTCTTCGTCCTTCCGCCTCTCGTTGCGACCGTTTTTATTAGTGGTGCAACAGCTCCTGAGGCTTCGGCAACAGCTCTGGCTTGGACTCGTCAGCTGGTTTGGACTCCTTTGATTCTTCAGAGGACTTCCCCTCCTCGCTTGACTTGCCCTCCTTCTTCTCGGCTGATTTCTCCTCCGAAGAATCGTCCAAACGTTCCTTCGACTCCTTCGACTCCTTCGACTCCTTCGCGCCTTCAAGCGGCTTCAGTGGCGTCTCCTTCTTCTCTTCAGCTAGATCAGATTTTCCCTGTGCCTCGGCCTCCACGGTTTCACGCTTGGTCTGGCTGTATTCGTCAGATTTGGCTGGCTGTTCGGATGATTCCTGAGCGCTACTGGACACCTCAGCGCTCTTCGCTTCTTTCTCTGGCTGAGCAACGGCTTCGATCTTCTCCTCGCTGCTCTTCGAAGAGGATTCCTCGGAGCTGCTTGCAGGTTGTTCGAGGGGTGGCGCGATTTTGTCACTCTTGGCTGCTGGTTTGCTCTCTTCTTGCGG